CTTCTAGTATAATAGCTGATATGCAATAAGATCACTTTTTTTTAATAATGATGCACTCTTGAACAAATTTAAGATTCCTATAAAATAAATTTTAGAACTTCACTCTGTGTGATTCTTGCTTTTTTCTTAACAACTATTTCTTTTTTTGACATATAGATATCCTACACTTTATGAGTAACTTGATCAATTTTGGGACTTAATTTTAATAATACATGTGTGTAACAAATGCTATGCTAATTCAAAGTCCAATATAGTAAGTATTTCTATGGAAAAGCTCTTCTTCTTTCTCTAATTTTAAACTCCTATGAGAAATCACACTTGATTCCCTTGACTTTTAGCTGGAGAAACATTTAATTTGTATAGTGCAAAGTTTCATTTGCAAACAAGTAAATAGCACCACAATATAGCTCACTTTTATTCTTTTTCATAGTTTGTTTTTGGATCAAGAAATTTTTTCCATGCAATATTTTGTTTCTTCCAGAAATTACAATAAGCTGATTTAGTTTAATCCACTGCTTTCAATGACTAGAATGGATGTAGCATCCATCATTATTAAATGTTTCTTGCAAAGTGGTGTTGCTAGTTAGCATGCAAGTTTTTTGAGAGCACTCTCTCCATAGTATAGTGTTGCTTGACAATCACTTCAGTGTGCTGGCATGAAACTTAAGCTTGTAATGGAGGCTATTATTTGTTACAAGGATGATTTAGTAATAGATTTCTTGCTCTGGAAAAAATAATTAGCTAGTGTTTTACAACTAGTGTTTAAAGGATAAGACAAAACATGCAATAGTAAAACCAATATGCAAATGGATCCCCATTATTTTTGTCATTGCTAACCAATATAAATAAATAAAAATGTTATTTATTTACTTGATCTAGTTTATTATTTTTCTTTTGTTTTGTCTTGCATTAAAGCTAAAGGATTTTAGTTTTAAATCCAATTTTATAATAATTCTTATCTAATTAAGTCTTTATTATGCTTTATTCTGATTCTGCTTAAATTTTATCCTCTGTTTAGGCTCTGGGTTTTAACTACTACCTAACGATCAAAGTTTTAGGGTTTAGAGCAAAGAAAGTGGATGGCGGAGGAACAGGAGGAAGAGGAGGAGGAGGAGCCCATCGGCGAATGGATCGCTCGGCTTCCATCGTACTCGAAGAAAGCTAAGCGTAATCTGGAAGAAATGCTCGCGAAAGAAGGGTATTTCACCGTGGAGGATGTGAAGGACTTCGGTGCGAGGGCTAAAGTTACTCATTCACGGCTCCGAAGGGACATGACGGCAGCAGGGTTCTTCCTCGATGGTACTGCACACACTCGTTTCTCCAAGGCTTTAGATCTCCGGAACGCCATCCTGGCGATTCCGGACGTGGGCTTCGAGAAGGCCAAGGTTTTCGAGGGGTTGCCATGGCCGAGCTTGGAGCCGATAGGGTTGCGCGTAAGGCATGAGGACGGTAAGATCTGGCTGGTAGGACGGCCCGTTTTCAAGAAGCTGCTGGATCGCTTCGCTCACCCGCAGCAGATCGATCTTGATGGGAATGTGGGGTCTGGAAAGACGTACTTGCTGCTCATGCTTTCGTTGCATTGCATGCACAGTTTTCTCAAGGCTGGCGGAAGGAAGAAGAGGTTGGTCTGCCTGTTTACGGTTCCCTTGGGCCGCCAATTGCTTCTCCGTGCTCTCAAGAATGCATTGATCGTGGCATTTGTGGAGGATGAGCAGGCGAGGAACAGGATCTACTGTGCTGAGGATTTGGCCGAGTTGCTACAGGTGGTGACTTTCCTGAAGGAGAGCAACGACTTCTTTTTCATCATCGACGAGTACAACCTCCTGGACGACTGGGCTACCAATGAGGAGCTGCGGAATGTGTGGCTCACTCTAGCAGGGTTTGAGGAATGTTCGGTCTGCTTGCATGGCGGATCGGCAGAGCGGGCGGCTGCGTATGCCAGGTTGTCCAAGTCGACGTTCAACCGGGAGTCTCATTGCCACTACTCGGTATTCACCAAGGAAGAGGTAGATGCTTTTGTAGGCAAGCAAGGCCTGCAGTCCGAGCCTCCTGAGATGAGAGAGTTAACCGGGTACCTTCCTCTGCTGGTGAGGATTTACCTCGACGTCTACTCGGAATCCCGAGAGAAAGCCAGGGAGAACTTCTTGTTGAGCAGAGAAGTTGCTCGGCAGAAGAGGGACTTACAGAAGATGGTCATGAAGGCAGCAGAGTTTTCTGACGGTAAGAGAAAATGGGGTGTGGAGTGCTTGTCCGAGTTGATTGCTGGAACAGCAACCGCCGACGGCATGATGGGGGACTTCGGTTTTTTCAGCACCCGCTGGATTGTGGAGAACAATGGGATGTTTTCTCTCGTCTCCGAGCTTGCAAAGCGGGTTGTGATCCTCGCAGTTGAGCAATACCTGGGAGTTACATTGGGAGTTTAAAGGGAAAGCAAATTGAAACTTTTTTTGAGAAGGATCTAGGCAGAGTCATCTCCGATTCGCCTACAACGTTCATCCCCACGGAAGAGTCGATTTTGCAATGAGGTTCATGCAGAATCGCTTGCTCTTCATCGATGTCTTCCAAGTCTCCGTTGGACTGCAGCCAGGCATTCCCAAGTGGCAGAACTCCAGCAAGTTCTTTGAGCCAGAGAATCTGGGCAAGCACACTGACTGGATATGATCAGATGGCGCTTCTTTTGGATCGGACGCGAAGAGGACCACCCTTACCTGGTTTCCCTCGAGGCACCAAAAGGAAGGCTCCATTAACTACACCGAGCTGAAGCTGAAAACACCGTACTCGCCCACACCTCCATTAACTACACCTAAGTCCTTCTCCCTGAAGCTGAAAACATCGTACTCGTCCACAAATTGTTGTCTCTCTTGAGGATCTTCACCACCTGTTTCATCTCGTCCAGATCCTGGGCGCAGTAGATCCAGTCCTCTTTGCTCCACTCCGCGAGAAGATCTGCGAGAAGTGCCAGGAGATCATGAGCAGCAACTATGTCTTCCCAGATCCATGACTCCCGACTAGCTCGATCGTCCGGGGCAGCAATGGATCGAGCAAGCTGGCCTCCAAGCGATCTAGCAGCTCCTTGAAAAGCGAGCGTCCTACCAGCCAGATCTTCCCGCCATTCCGCGCTGTGGGATCGGCTCCAAGCTCGGCCACGGCCGAAAACCTTGGCCTCCGGGAAGCCCTCGTGAATCGCGAGGATGGAGCTCCGGAGCTCTAGTGCCTCATTAATGGGAGGATAAAGAATGTTACCTCTTTTCAACTTAATCGATGGTCATAGTTGCAAATAAATAGTTAAGATTAATTCAATAAATACTATTAAATAACCAAAACTAAATCAAAACTAAATTTACAATAGTAGCATAATCTAAACCACTACTTACGATATACTTAATCATCAAAATTAATTTCATTTAGGAGAATTTAACAAAATAGAGAGGAAGTTTAAAGTTTTGAAACTTATAATGTAAAGTTAATATTTTATTTGCAATTTGTGAAATGCTTCTTTTTTTGTAAGTCGGGGTGTAATGGTATACATTTATTAAAGATTCTATTGAGTAAAGTATAATATTTATTGATTCCAGAGTCAATTAATAAAATCAGCAGTTTGATACCATCATACCGAGTGCTTATGATGTTGTAATGCCACCATATATGAAATTGGGCCTCCTAAGATTTAATTGTGAGTGATGCCTCTTTAATTTTTTAATTACTTAAGTGAAATATTACAAATGTAAATCTTTTTTATGTATAAATTTAAAAATAATTTACATCTGATTAAAGTTTTTATATAAGTTTAAAATTTAGGTATTTTTTTATTTTTAAAAATCTTAAATAGTTCCATTAACTCATATAAATAAAAAATAGAAAATATAGTTTTATAATAATTTATATCACACTGAGTTTTGTACAAAATTTAAGTTATTAAAATGGTTTTTCTCCTCCAATTCCTTACTCTTTGCTCTTTGTTTTCCATTTCTTTAATATTTATTTTCCAGGTTATTCGTCTTCTTATTTTCGTCAAAGTGTGCGATCTCGAATATACTTTTGATCGCAAATGGGTGAAATTAAAAACATATATAAATAGAAGGTGTTGAAAGATGGTCGGGCCAAAGCTTTATGATAAACTTATGCATTATATTTGAAACTTCCGTGGGAATCTTTTCTATATTACCTTTGTGGTTTTTTTTTTTTCTTTATATCATATCAAAATTTCATTAATATTTATAGTTTTGGACTAATGTATATGAAGGTAGTGGAATATAATAATAAATGTAATAGAATATAAATTTTAAATTAATTATAATAATTTAATTTAATATATTTTATTCTTAAAGGTTTAGATCTTGGTTTTCTATATATCTTTATGTATTAAAAACATTCAAAGAGCTCAAATAAGGAGTTATATCATATTCAAAATAGTAAAAAGAAATTAAAAAATTG